TATCAAGGTAAATTCAGTGTTAACCACTTTCTACTAAGACAGTTTATGAGGCTCACTGACAAAAGATTACCACCATATAAAGTCAGAAAATCGTCGAGAGATTTTTAGGGACCGGCATCATGGTGTTCACAACAATTCGGCGACTCAGTCTTTTATCAAGGTAAATTCAGTGTTAACCGCTTTCTACCAAGACAGTTGAAAGAATTCTTCCAAACTGTTGGCTCTCAAACTGGATATTTTGCAAAGCATTCCTTGGGTAAGGATTCAGTAGTTGCTACCTTTTTTCGCCTGGAATTAGTGTTTCTCAGCAGAGTTCAAAGTTCTTTTTGCCTTGTCGATAATTTGAAGGTTGAATTAATCGAGATAAAAAACGAGAAGAGAACGAAGAGAACGAGCAAGAGAACGACGCAAGCACACGGGAATGATTCTATTGCTTGCGCCTAGGCTGTTTGCAGTGTGCTTGCGTCATAGTAGAACAGTCCACTTATAAAGCCTCGTTTACACTAGCGATTTTTGCGGCGATTTTTTTGCGATTTTGTCCATAATAAATAATGGTAAAGAATTTACTTGTAAAGTTTTTTCAGGATACCAAGATTTTCCTAGACGAATGTCTCTTTTGAAGGATGAGACAAAAGATTTCATATTTCCGAAAATTGCCACAAAAATTGCAGCAAAAATCGCCGCAAACATCGCCAGTGTAAACGGGGCTTTAAATAGATATATTCCAGAAAACAAACTATCGACGGAATTGCGGATCGGAATTGCAGTGGAATGATTTCTCTATCTCTCGAAGCCAGTTTGTTTTTTAATACTCGTTCGGTCGCAACACGATACCAAAACACAGCAATTTTCAAACTTCAAAAATCTTGTACTAGATCATGCATTTCTTCATAGTAGCTCATAAACACCTACCATATGTCATTCGTTTGACTTTCTCTCTATCCATTTAGCTTAATCCTCGATTTTAGACTTTCAAAATAGTCGAAATTGTACATGCAACCCCAAGACGTGAGTTTCTTCTGCTAAGGCTGAGGTAAAAGACGTGTTCTTGATTCATTCATCTATATTCAACTCAGTCACGTTCGTGCCTCACGGCATGTTAATATTCTCATTAGCATACAACCAGGTGTCAAATCACTAGACGTCCTTTGAAGAGCACGCTCAAGAAGGACACGTACAGGTCATTGAATATTCAAAGCTATTCATTCTTGGCATGTAAACAATCCTCGTCGAGCGACTTACTTACATTTCTCTTTTATCGCGTGCTGTTATTTTTGTACATTTAATATTTAATTTATTTCCCACATCATTACTAGATGTGTCCTTTGTGTATTAAAAGCGTATTAAATGCGTCTATTTTGAAAAAAATTGCTTTCAAGCACATACATAATTTATCAGACTGTCGTACGTGTGAGTGACTGTTAGAAAATAGATACTAAAATCGCGGTACGTGTCGACGCGTCACGTTCAGTGATCTCAATATGATAATTGAACGGCGACGTTGAGTAACTAAAAATACAATAAAATTAACTGTAAGCGGGGTTAATAAGAATCGTAACATTCAAAGGTCTGAACTCGCGGAACGAAGCTGTTTGATTATTTTTAAACAGCTGTTCACGGTTGCGGATCCTGGCTCTCTCTCGTTTCCTCTCTCTCTCTTTCATGGAAATTTTCTCTCGGCCTGGCTACTTGAACATACAAGGTCCGAACAGCGTTATACAGTGTAACAACGAACCATTGCTTTCTAAGAAGAAATGACCGTAATTACTGTAACTTTTCAATATCTCGTAGACTTCCGTTGGTTCACGTAGAATTCGGTCTTTTTGTTGTCGACGATCAATAGCACACATAAAAAGTGTTTACACTTTTGAAAACTTGAAACAGTAGAGTTCGCGCGATTTTGAAAATCACAGCAAGGCACCGTCGACTGCATCCACCTGCCACGAAGTAGTTCCGTAATGAAAACACAGTATGAAAAACAAATCAATTAGCGATTATAGATCGATTGCTTGTAACTAAGATGGTTGATAAACCAGCTACGTGATATCAAACAATAGCGTGACTTGTCAGTAATCAAAGGTCACACCGCCGCAAGTAGATTCATGATCGCCATCCTTGAATTATTTCAAGCATCCAGACGTGAGGTCATTTTGAGCGATATTTATGGAATGCCTTGCGACGTGAGCGCCGTTTTAAAAATTGAATCGCTATTTCTCACGTTCGGTTCACCCTCGTGTTTTAGTCTCAAGTTTGTATTGCGTAATCTAGTCGGCCGTAAAGTGTAAAACTCAAACACTAGGCAGTGGATATATGTGACTTTTTTCTCACGTACGCAGAACAGATTTGCATTTACCGTAAGTTGTACTTTTAAAACATCACATTTTCTATCGTGTTTATCGATAAACGCTGCTGTATTGAATGAGTCGAGAATAATATGGAGAAGCTTATATCATTCTGTATTTACTATATACAATGTTCAATTCGCAGTCTCGCTTCGAGCAGTTTTATTTTCAGCGCGTCTTTAACTCTCTTTTTTTTGTTTCATCCCAGTTTCATGTAGTAAACGATGTTGGGTACATAAATCGCGATGTATCGGAAGAAGGGTAAATGTGAAGAAAAATATTCAAAAAATGTTCTATTTTGAAGCGTGGTCAATTAAAGAAGTTTTGATCAATATGGCGACCAATCACGACACGTTTTCGATCGTGGTCATGAGCCCTTGCTGCGGATCACTTACGGACAAATGTATTCATTTGTCGTGTTTTAATAAATTATTGTTTTGATAAATTATTCAAACATGTTTTGAAGCCGGCCGTTTCCTATGACATGTTTTGATTTGAGAGATTTGGTGCATAGGATTTGTTTTTAAAATAGACAGTGGAACATCCAGACTTGTTTACATAGATTTGTCTGGAAAGTCAAGAGACATTTCAAATAGTACGTCGTATTACTTTCATGTCTTTTTAGCCCATAGAACTGACAACAAACAAAACAACCATTTAAAACAGTACGGCAGCTGAGTACTGCGAATTGTGTCTGACTCGTAGATAAACAAACGCGTATGTCTTTACGTACATAAAGGGGAGTCCCGCAAAAAGAGCATTCAAAACATGATATAAAAGAATGAGGGCATGGACGGGCCTCTGAGGCCTACAACTTTGTTGTTTTTTTCACTCTTGTTTTACTTGGGCGTCATTTCTCGCCAGATTTTGTTTCTTCATAAACAACTCACAACCGTCCGCCACTTGTCCATTATAATCTATAGGGATTCACGACCAGCTTTACCAGAAAATCAAACAGCGACTGTGCCAACAGTATTGTCAATATTTGCTTATCTTTTATTGCATTTGCAAAGTTATAATAAACGCTATAAAATGCCGGATGAGGATTAACGATACAAGACATTACAACTGGTTATGGACACAATTCTTTGAGCTCATCGTTTTTCGTGGGGCTCAATTTCAAAAAAAGAGTTATAAAACAAATAATTTTATTCTAAATTATACTTAAAGATGATTTTTCTTTGAGATACAAGCAGTACTTAATTTTATACTAGATTACATAACAATTCAGTGATATGTTTTTCTTATAATTAGAGTTCATTTATGATAAAGCTAATATATACATTGACTAAGAAGAGATAACTAGCTAAAAACTAGTGTGAGTTTTTTCATCTCTTCACGGTGTATAATTTACCTTTTTATCATTATTATACATTGAGTAGACAAATTTTCAAGTTATTTTTTAAACGTCTTTTTGCATAGCAACTTCTAGTTTTGCAATATGTCATAATGAATGCAGTTAGAAACAAGTACAAACATTTGTCCGATACATAAGGGCTTGGTAAGTCCACAAGAAAATTCTGGGTGGTTTTGAACATTGAAAAAAGGCATAATCTTTACATACTGTCAGTAAATGACTTCAAGAAGCATAGCCTTGTGGCATAGACTTATAAATACTAAGTTCAAAAAAAAGAGGTACTTTGTACTTTATCTCTTTAAGATATATATATTTGTAAAAGTAGATGTACAGCTATTTCAAAGAACTTAAGGTTGGTAAATTTTAGAGTCAGTAGATGCATGCAACATAGCCTTCACCATCATCTTTAGAAATAGCTGTATTTCAAAGTCATTTTTACAGTCTTCTTAAGCTAAAGTTGGAATTTCGTAAGGATGCAGTTTCCTTATGTGGGAAGCTCTATGATCAGATCTACTGAATGCCCTTCCACATAAAGGACAAGCGTAAGGCTTTTCACCCGTATGCCTTCGATAATGTCTTTTGAGTTCATCAGAACGACGAAATCGCCACCCACATCCATTCCATGGACAGTAAAAAGGTTTTTCTCCAGTGTGAATCCTTCGATGCGCCCCCAGATGAGAGCTTTTGTTGTACTGCTTTCCACAGCCTGGAAAGTCACAACGAAAAATAAAATTTTCTAGTGACATTTCGTCCCCTTGCATTTCAGGTGAGTCAGAACTCTTAGTAGAATAGGGTGGCGTTTCCGGGTCAGATCCACTGTTATTTGAGTCAAAACCACTATGGTCCTGACTAGACTGGCTATTATAGCTGGATACACTCATATTAGATCCTCTTCTATCAACGACGGTCTTAGCATGACTGGCTCCTGAACAATTCTCAGGAGATCTAGATGGAAGTAATTCGCTTGGAGTACAGCAGTCATGAAAATTATTATTGATAACCTTTAGGGGTTCTGGAGTGTGCTCTTTGGACGATGGCTTGGACACACTGACATCAGTCAAAGTCGATGCCTTGCAGGACAATTGAACGTTTTCCAACTTTGTTAATGTAAAGCCAGAATTTTGTGATACTGGTAGATTGTTAAGAGGAGAATACAATGCAGAAGCTGCGGGTTGCTTTCTATCACTGCTAGGCTGACTGTAAGCAGCTGATTGTGAACCATAGTTTCCAGCACTCGAAACAGGGCTTATAAAAGAGCTCATCATATGTTCTTGAGGAATTGTGCACTCAGGCCGATACTCCAAAGTCGAGGTTTTTCTATCAAAGCCTTCTCGTCTCGACCCCCTTTGAATCTTTCCCATATGACTGGCAGTGCTCAAGCCATTCTGCTCATAATGTGGCAAAGAAGGACGATTCGGAAAATGGTTTGGATGGGAATCTCCATAGTTTTGTTCTCTACAATATCCATAGCTCAAAGTATTTTTCATGGAAGTATGAGTAGAGCTGGAGAAGCTGGCATTTCTAGGGTATGGCTGAAGGCTCCTGGCTTCGGTAATACGGGGCTGCACCTCAAGTCTAGAAGTGTTCCTTGCATTAGTTGGCGAAGGGACTGACTGATGATTATGTCTTTCGTTTCCCCCTGTCTCTGTTTCTCTCTTATCGTAGCAATTGGAGTAAGAGGAAGGGTCCAGTGAAGACACTGTATTTGTTGGTGCAGGTAATTGAGATGTATAGTTGAGGTATCGATCGAGCTCCATCAAAGTCTAAAAGCAACAATAAACAACATCAGGACATGATTAAGTAAGACAGATTTTAAAAATGTATTTAAAATGAAAATCAAACGCAAAAATCCGACGTTTCGGAGTCATCTTGATTCCATTTGAAATGATTGACCTTAAAAACTCCGCATTTGAAACAGTGTCATCTGAATCGGAAATAAACTATCGACAGAATATTATTGCACAACAAGACAAATTAAGCTCACGAGAAAAAAATAGAAACATGGACGCAAACACTAAACGTATCTGAGTACTGACTAAATGAATTTTGATAAAAAAAACAACCGCACGCATAAATGGTGCACACAAACCAAATATGATTGTTTAAAAACATATCAAACTCATACATATTGGAAACAAAATTGCACTGGTACAGTTTTAAGTATGAAAAATTTCAAACAAAAAAAGCTCTATTACGGCTTGTACTTTGACATTTAATAACGAGTCAAAGAGAGAAAAAAAAATCGTATATAGCTTACTGCAAAAATTAGACATGAATAGATATATAGTAGTCAACTATATGAAGGATGATCGAGTTGACTAAGTGGGGTTTGAAACAAGTTTGCCTGTTAACTGCAAGTGAACCTCACAAGCCGGTCTCAGTAAGGACCGCCATTAAATGCTATTGACGAAGTGTAATAAAAAAGGTTTTTTCCATCCATTTAATCCTGTGAAAGATGTGACCGTATATTCTTATTTTTACCGACACCTCCTTGAAGTCGTTTAATACCGAGAACGAACACCTTACAATTATTCAATAGTTTATTTTATCAGAGTCCGGCAGCCGATATCTATCATTGTCGGCAGGCGGAAGGAAAATAAGTCACTTAAATAAACTTAACTGAAGCAAATACAAATAAAAAAGAAGTTACATGATTGTATGAATGAATTAAAGAGGTTATCAATCTATGATCGTTTGTGATCGGCACGGCAAGAGTTACTTTTGCTACATTCATGAGCATGTACAAAAAAGAGTTTACGTTCCCTAGATCCACTAATTTAAAAATTATTATTTTTCCCTCACCTGCTTTATTTCTTCCTCTGTTGTTGGGAGAAGTAGTGAATACATTCCGGTCGTTATAGGATCACTGTCACAGAAAAAGACTGAAGATGCTGTGGTTATGCTGAGAACATCAAAATTGTCTCCAGCCATTTGACTAAAAATAAAGAAATTTACTATTGAAAAGCGAACAAATATTGATTATGCAATGAAGAGAAAAATCGGATGCTGCTATTATGTGGGCATCAGTATAACTGAGATGTGTACTGCACCGCTTACACGTTTGCCTCCAGCTTGCCGGGTCTGAACTCACGATTTATACTGTTATCATTTGACATTCTCGAGATGCGTGATCCGACGCGCCGGTTAATATGTCTCTTGTCTGTGTGCTATTGAAACATTGTTTTGGTCTACTCAAGTGACACATATCAATACCGGCTGTCACGCTCCTCTGTTCGAGAAGAATTCGATAACACGTTCCACGGCAACTGGTTTAAAAATAGATCCAGGCACGCTATTTTGAAAAATCCTTTTCATGTTGGTTTGTTTAGAATCATTTGTACATGTATACAGTGTTAAAAGAGGTGTAACTCAACTTTTCTACTGAAATAACAGGAATTCAAGTACATTCTATTTTTATCTTGCCCCCAGGCAACAAATATGCTAATGTTCGGTTGAATCTTCGAGGGACGAACGCTGCACTTATCGTTCGGAAAATAATCGGCGATTCCTCGAACGAAGTCTTATTGGCTGTTAAAAGAGACGTGACCGATTAAAACAACAAACTCGAAAATACAATAACTTGACTGTCTGGCAACATATAAAAATGAACTTCAAGTCAATAAATTTCACATAATACAATTTTCTATTTGAAGTGTTCTTGGATGTAAAAGGTTCGCTTATTTTCAAAGGAACGAGGACTGAACGCCACCAAAGGTACAGATCTAAGAAAGCTTAGAGTTTACTCTTTTAAATCCATTCAGGTTTAGTCAGAAAATGCTAAAACAACTTTTTTAAATCTCTTACTGAATTTGTTTCGTGTTCTCTTATTAATTTTTAATTAACCTCGTTAAAAAAAAATCACGATTTTTTTCGAGTGGCCTTACTGCGCGGCGTGATGAGAAGACTTTTTTACTAATACTGTTACATTACTGGAGATACCAGCGTGGACTTCCGTCGGGCTAATTTTATAATAACGGCAAAAATACTTAATCTACCTTAAAGATAGATTATCATATCAATTATTTAAATGTTTCTGTTTCTATCTAATGCCTTTTTTCTTAATAACTAGAATAATAAGCCACTATATTTATAAAGTTCGCATCACGCACGTATACGAATAATAAAGGCGGTTTTAAGAACGCCTGGAACTTTAGCGATGTAACCCCAAATCCAAGAGACACACATCGGTCAATTCTATAAGCCAGTAAAAATTATTTTATTCTATTTTATATTATTTTGGTAAAATAAATTAAATAAGTGAAACTAAAAATAACGATTCAAATTTATAATTATATTTTCGGGCCATATTTCAAATTCTTGGTGCGAATAAATTCCCACTATATACAAATCATTTTCTTTTTAGTCTTATTTAAGAGAACTTTAGTATTGCAATAAACTTAAGGCAACTCTATGATTTTTATTTCAACTGAATAATTTCTCACTATGAGAAATTGGTTAATTTTTAGGCCTCTTCTTGGTCAATGTGGCATTAAAACGTTCCATTCGACGGACGGAAGTCTTTGCGGCATGCGGTTTGCGTTCTAATATCGCCAATAACTTAAAATAAACAGTTGATATGACTTTAATTTTTCTCGTACTTTTCTACTGTGATAGGAATTAGGAACGAATGATGGTTAAGTAAAAAAATAAAAAACGAAATTTATTATTAGAATAAGAAAATTAAAACCTACAGTAAAGAATATTGAGCCACCAAATGTGACGAACGACACAGTCTTTGTCAACTTTAATACTAAACAAGATGCAAATATCAGCTTTTGTAATTAAGCCACCGAAAACAACAAATTTGACTTAATCACGTTTTTTACAAGTAATCAATAATGCAATTTGTAACTGGTGCTGACAATCTTTTGTGTGAAATCAAATTCGGTCGGTTATATACTGGTATTACTTCAACTGTGAGTTACACTTGGAGTATAAGTTACTATTAAGATGAGAATAGATCTCTAGATTTGTTAATGTATGGAAAAAATACCCTATAATAAGAATGCTCCTGGACGATTTTTCGTTTAGATAGTGCAAAATCCTTTGAAGAATGACATTGTTGTAGAAAAGGAAGGCTTAACAAGCCCCTCATACGCTTTTTAAGAATTTACAGCACCAAAAAAGGAGAGAGGATGTGATCGATAAAAGAAAGAAAAAAGAAAGATGAAATTAAGAAAAGAAAGCACTAAAAAGCTATCTCCTCAGTGAAAGATATGGCAGCTTGAAAATACTCTTGTCTTATAGTTAATCGAGCAAAATTCACCCACATATGAGTTGGTGAAGATGTTGTTGCATGCTGCATCTTCTTGCATGCTGCATCTTGCTTGCCAAGCTTAAATTGTACAAGTAAATGTACTATTCACATGTAAATAATGTTAGAACAGAAAAATATATATACTAGAAAAACGTGCAGACAAAATTTAGGACGATTTCCGCATATTGTTGTGACCTTTTGTTGATCGTATTCACATCGTCCATGCTGCGGTTTGAGCCTGGTAAGCAACATGCAACAAGACCTTCACCAACCTGTTTTGAAATAGCTGTGTATATTAAAGCAGGCACATGGCTTTAAAAAAATATAGTATATCTCTTGCCATTTTTGGATGCACCAAAAAATATCAGAAACATCGGTTGAGTTGCTCAAAAATAACGAGAAAAACTTAAGCTGATCTTAAGATGTGTTGTAGTATTAATATTAGCAAATGATAAAAGCATATAAAGCAAAGAAATGAAAGGCGTTAAACGTCTGGACTTTCAATATAGTTTTACCACTTATAAAGACCACCAAACAAAGAACAAATATCAAGAACATATAAAAGTAACTTTAAATAAAAAACGTCAGTAAATAATGAACTGCAAGAAATTGCCAGGAAAATGCACTCGTTATCGATACACTTGTTATCGGTACACTTGTTATGTAATTGGTACACTTCTTGGAGAAAGTCAACAATAAGGACAAATGTTTATATTCTTTTATCTTTTTTATTATTATTATTATTATTATTATTATCTCTATATTTATGAATTTGAGAAATGCATTTTCTCAGATTCTTTCTTTGTTTTTTATTGTTAACTTTTCTAAAAAGGACAAATGTTAGAAAAATGCAAAAACATTGCAGGAGAAATGAGAATTTATTATAGACACTTCATATCAGTATATTTACTTTTAGATAGCTGCACTGTATCCTAAACACTTATATGGGTAAACAAGGCCGGTAAATTTTCTAACTTATAAATAGTACATGCCAATAAAGAGGGGAAACAAAACCATTCAGTAAATATCAACCAGCATCAATGAAACCATAGCAAGAAAGACACGTTAGATTTGTTTTGCAGTAGTAGCGTATATGAAAAAGAACGAGTGATTTCTTGGCAAGATGAAAAGCCATTGAAAGGGCAACTTTTGCAGAATTTTAGTCAATAGGAATGTCAAATTGTTTTTGGTTCCACTCACTTAGGTAACAACAAGCTATCAAAGGCAAGTTATGATGAAAGTGATATAAAATGAAAGAATTCTTTATCACTGCTATATAAAAAAATATGGGTTTGTTTGACTGAATCTAATCATTCTACTTTAGGTACCATGCATTTCAGTGCATGGCTTGATTTTCCTAGATTTTGATTCAGGAACATGCTTATGATTTGTGACAAGCCTTTAACATATTCATAATCGTTCATTAACATTTTGTTTGTCTTTCCTTTTCGTTTATAAATGTATATTTCAAGTGCTCGTAATACACCATCATTATATCTTGTGCAAATAAAAATTGAAGTTGAAGTTGTAAACTTCAAAATCGCCTCCCAAATGAGACAGTCCTCAGTCCATGCATATCTCTTCCCAAAGCAAGGGAAATCAAAATGGAACACACTGACCTGAGAAGTAATACCTATCTACTTAGCTTCCAATTTTACTGAAGTTCCTTTTCGATCTCTAACAAATATCGTATGATGTAGACTTGAATGTAGAATTTTTAAGGGCTAATAGTGGATTCACTTCAGTACAGCAACTACAGCAAGGGAAATCAAAATGGAAAACACTGACCTGAGACTGGAAGTAAAATAAAACTATCTACTTACCTTCCAATTTCACTGAAGTTCCGTTTCAATCTGTAATAATTATCATATCATGTAGACTTAAATGTAGAATTCTTTAGGCTAATCGGATTCACTTCAGTACTAGGGAGTAATATACTGACTCAAACTGCCTAAACCCTGCCTAGTACAACTTAATGTATACTCCTTACTCTCCTACTAACTTGCTCTTTCAGTTGTCCTATATATTTCTAGTCGCTGATCAGTTTTGACAATATTGAACATATAAAACAATATGTATCATATATTTTAATGCCTGTTTCTTAAAAAGGCAAACAGATAACAAGCCATTATGTGCATGCTTATTGAAGATAATGGTTGTCAAGTCTGAGCACAAGTGGATGTGATACAGCCTGTATATTGTGTAACTAAATTATTTTTTCCGCCAACAGTTTTATATACTTAGTGTTACAGTTTTTTGAGCTTATACTCTTCTGCTTCTAGTTTCAATCAATGATGCAACTGATTGTATATGTGAGCAACTCAAAATAAAGAAGACTGATTCATTTCTTTTTTTAATTGTTTATCCATCTTCATATCAGCACATGAATTTGAAATCGTTGAGCTTCACCCCGATTATACCTTAGTTATCATATATTTCTTTACTCATCCTACATGCAATTTTGTTGATATTCACGCATAATGTCTAACGCGTTGACCGACACGATTTCGCTATACAAAAAATACGTGGTATCATAACTAGTTATCAACCTATTCGAGGCTGCACTCATCACAAAATGATAAAAGGAGATATGAAGAGATTACTAGCTAAAAACTAGTTTTTAGCTAGTTATCTCTTCTCGTCACAAAATGGATCACTCGTCTATCAGTTTGTTTGCTCTTCAAACTCGAAGGAGTACCAATGTATCAATCCAAATCCATTTACTCATGGGATCAGTGTTAGTGTATATGCTGCTAAATCCGATACAAATGTTATCAGTATCAATCACTCAGCCTCTTTACCTGGAAGTGTTTTCAATCTCTGTAACAAATTTATCTCGTCAGTATTAAACTGGTGAAGCGTTTGAGAAAATGCATTGAGCCACAATTTCTTCGGTAAAATGTCTTCCTGTTGTTCAACAAAATCCAGGGTCTGCACAAATATGAATGTATGTTTATAAATATAATACACAAGTTCAAAATTATTATTACTAGTACCGTGAATTTTTAACAGCCGCCATTATTCATCACCTGTCTATCAATATGTTATTCACTATGTTAGCAATGACTGTTCGTGTCTTTGTCATAAGCAACAAGTCCAGATTTTTTTCCTTGTCGAAACTGTATTTGAAATGTTGGGTGTTAATATTTTCAACCCAAATCAGTTTCAGAGGTTTAAAACTTCAACTACTTAGCTAAAATATCTCTTTTAAGACTTTTTCCCTGCCTGAATCTTGTAATCGAAATACAGTACATGAAGATTGAACGATACATCACATGGAAAGATCAATTCCCTTACAAAAAATTACTTCGACTGAATTTAAAATGGCTCAAAGATCAACTGAGAAGATGATCTTTAATATTGTTTTTTAAAGCCAACAATAATATTTATAGACAATACTATTATTATTAATGCAATTAAATTGAAATATTGATTGCTTGCTAGTGTGCATGTGAAC